TGCATGCTTTTTAAAAGCCGCATCCTTTTCATTCATGCTTTATCCTATATCGCTCTAGATTGGTAATTAGGAGTTGCAACACACAAAAACACGAAAGCAAGACAAATACTACTTTAGAAAAGCAATTTGAAAATTCGTTAAAAAATTATGCAGATAAGTGGAAACAACTCTGTGGCAACTAAAAGCAACATCATAGTGGCATGTGTGCATCAATGGATCAGCAGTCATGGAGAAGGAAATGTAACCAATGCACCTTTGAACTCTGCTTAGCTCCTATAAAGGAATGAATTAAAATGAGATCTTGAGACTGTGACATAAATTTTTGGACTTTTGTCAATGACAGTACCCTACAGAATGCACTGCCTGAATATCTTTCACACTGTTTTTGAGGTGTGGTAAATACTTACCTGAACTGATTTGTGTTTTAGCTCAATTATACTGTATACTTCTGTTAGAAGTCAGTAAGTAAATCTAAACAACACTGCTAAATGTTTTTTTCAATTCAAATTATTGGGGACTGCCTAGAGAGTAGACCTGTTCCTGTGGGGAGTGGTGGCGCAGAGGTTAGAGAAGATGAGCCTGTGATGGGAAAGTCGCAGGTTCAAATCTGTCAACATCAAAAATGTGGGTGGAAAAGGTGAAATACCCACCACTGCCTCCATCCTCATTTACCCAACTCTGGGCCCTTGAGCAAGGTCCTTAACCCCCACCATCTGCTCCCAACTCTCTTAAAAATGAGTTCTCATGACTCAGTGAGTCTACCTGTATAAATAAAGTTTGAATGAAAGGTAGCCACCTATTATTATCCACCTGCAAAGGGTCTTGCTCTTCTTTCAACTTCAATGCAGCCTGAACCACAACGTGTACCCCCACAAATTTTATATCAAAACGACCAGCTCGGCACCTGATGTGTGCTGTTATGTATATTGGCATTTCGAGTTACCCTGGCAACGTAATTTGCAAACAACAGACACCATTTGTCTCATTGAAAAACACTGACGGAACTCAACAGCTTCTGACTGCCACAATGAGGTCACATGACCTAGAGTCAAGAGGTCTCGGAGCAAAACTCAGTACGTCATTCTTCCTACAGCCACATTTTTTAAGATACACATACATATTATATGTCAAAACGTAGGCATTTTTGTCATCTAAATTTTAAAATGGCCGCTATGTGGCATTCCCCATCAAAGTTTATTCAACTTTCTAGTTTTGTAAGCACAAACATGCTAAACTCTACGGTTATTTAACTGATTTATGAGGCCGAAGTGTCTTTGCAGCCAGAGACTGATCTCTTAGCTGCACTGCTTTTTATTTTGACAGGAGGCGCAAACTGTGTCCCAGTCCAGCGGCCGCATCCTTCGAAGGATGCGGCCGCTGGACTGGGACACAGCTACAGATTTTCTCAGAATACCTGAAACAATCTGTCCCCTTCCACCTTCTTCCCTTTCAGTTTTATGATTGTAAATAATGAACTGTTCTTAAGTAACCTACCTGAACATGGGACGTTGATGTGACACCCTGAATATGAAGGAACAAAACAACTGTGTGAGTTTTTTTCAAGCTTTTTATGTGTTTGTGTGTTGTACTATATATTTATTTCTGATCCAATACACACATTCTAATCCAGACAGTATGAGAAAGGGGACCAGATGTCCTGAATTGTGAGAGACTGTCTCGCATTTTTCTTTCCTGTCCCGGCAACACACAAATTGAAAAAGGGTCAAATGATGAAAAGTCTAAAATGTTTTCAACAGGTGCTTTTCTGAAATGTTAGTTAGTCACTGCGAAAGAGGCAGAGACACTGTCAGCTGGCAGTCAAAATGTGCTGCAGCATGCCTGCATTGTGGCCATCTTCCACAACACCATAGTAATTAAATCAAAAATAAAAAGACAAGGATTTGATTTATATGGAAAATATCGGACATTATAACAAAGAAATAAAAATGCAGCTACAACAAAGAAATGGTTTACAACTAGCCGACTTTGCGAAGTTTGCCAGTTACTTTTCAATTTTCCGTGGTGAGATGCACAATGCACAAGAATGCATAGCTCAGAAAACCGCCAGCCAATCTATGGACACATCTTTATTCTAACACAAAGATGACTGCCAGACAACAGCTGCCAAGATAACCGTTTTACCACAGTGCAGCCCTCAGTCCTGCAGGTCAGCAGCATGCACCGATCAGGTTTTCAGACTCAGAAATTGCAAATAAGAAGACATGTGGGTGCACTAAACCAGCAGCTATTGTTACAGATGTGCGTGCACCTGCCTGTATGAAAAATTATTTAGAACACCAATGACTCAATGTGATACAGACAAACATGTACACACTCCATTTTCTTCAGTGACATCAGATGCCTCTAATCACAGCACAACACAACTCTTCCCCTTGTTTACGAGCTACTGGACACCGATGTTAGGCTTGAAGAATAGGATCCTGAACTTTATGAGCACTGCGATGAGTATCTGCTCTTTATTCACTATATTTTATTCATTTAGCTGAAAGAAAATGGCCTGCTCTTGGACATGGTTTCAGCGTTCAGGACACCCACTTGAGCTGCAGGTTTACCTGTCCTTCCTCAGTCACGTGCTGAAGACTTTCCATGAAGTTGTGCTGCTGTTGGATGGAGAGGATGGGACTGTCTGTGAGCTGTATGAGATCATGCTCACTCTAAAAACAAAGCTCCAGTCTCTCTTTGGAATGGAGACCAGCACTCTCCTTGAGCAGTTTCCAGAGCAAAAAGCAGCTGCAATCAAATCAATCTGTCATGTTTTTAAACATCTGCACCCACTTGGAGAAGTGGTGTAACTGTTCAGATGACAACTTCCAGAAGGATAGAGCAAGTTCACCCAGTGGAGGTTCTCCAGATGAGAGGAAACTGGCCATGGATGAACTGCATGAGGAGTGCTGTGTACTCTTGCCTCGGCAGCAAGATGTTGTGAAGAAAAGAGCTGCAGTTGTGGAGAAGTGGTCAACCTTGCTTCAAGACACAAAAACACCAACTATGACTGTTGTATCCTTTCCATTCATCATCCCCATCACTAATGTTGTTGTAGACAGGGTGTTTTCTCTCATGACGGCAGCTTGGACTGACCAACAGAACCAGTGTTCTGCTGAGCCCGTCAGGTGTGAAATTCAAATCAAGACCAACTTTAGATACAGTTGTAAGGAATTCAACACTTAAGAATTAAAGGAGAAGGCCCTTTTTAGAAGCTATCCAGCAGAAGGTATAAAGACAATCAGAGTCTCTAAGAGATTTACATGTTAAAACTATAGATTAGAGTAATGGCTTTTAGTAATGCAAACGTTTTAACACTAAGCATCTGCTGTTATGGTCCGTCCAGGTGCTCTCCAAGGTTGCTGCTTGCAAGTGTGGACTTGTGTGGACCTGGTAATGGTTTTGTGTGATTTAGTTGTAAAGAGGTTTTTTTTGTTTTGTTTTCTGTATGATGAACTTATAAAAATATTTGGAAATAAAGTTTTTTCTGATAACTTTTTAAAAGTGTTAAACTTTTTAAAAGTCATTTTTCTCTGATAAACTTGCATTCATTCATTGTGCACTAACAGACACATATATTGATTATTCTAATGAGAGAACTATAATAAATTCAAATTAATGATGACATCATAGCATTGATGATGTGTCCTCGCATCTTTTTTGCCCCCACGTTAGTTTTTTCGGGAGGGATAAGGTTGCTTTCACATTGTAGTGCAGGACTACCACCGTCTGGTGGAAAAGCAGATTACTTCGGGGAAGCTTGGTCCACACCAACCGGAAGAATCCGAAAAGACCCAACTAGTTCTACACAACATTTCAAAATAAAATCCCTCCATGAAACGTCATTTTTGCCGCACGAGCCTCATTTCTGGTAAAATCAAGTTTTATTCACCTCTGTTTCATACTTGACCTCCTAAATCTGTAACCCCAGCTTGTTTTATTTTCTATGTAATACGATTTTAAATTTACAAGAAGAAATTTAATTTACAAGAAGGTTATATACAGTATACTGTGTGTGTGTGTGTGTATGTGTGTGGCGTGTATGTATATATATATATATATATATATATACCATTGAAGGATTCAAGGTTCCTTTATTGTCATTCACATCACATGTGGTACATGAGGTGGAACGAAACTATGTACACAGGGTCCCAGTTACATCCAACAAAAACACAAATTGTAAAGAAAAGCAGTAAGATCCAAGACATGAATTAAGAAATACACTAAACTAAGAATACACTAAGCACTAATCATACACATATATACTTTGCATAACTTCTCAGCCACTCCAGAGAAACATATTTTACTTCATTTACAAAGTATTTATCAAGGACCAGTAGATGTACAATTTCTCGTTTAACATAGGCAGTTGTAAGTGTAGCTTACTGTTAGTCAAAATCAGTGAGAATAACTCCAGCATCATCATCTATTTAATACTTTGAATTAGAATTTGTGGACCATCTTTCTAAGCGGTATAGTCACTTTCGATAGTCAACAATATGTTCTGTATTATTAGAAGACACTTTCATATAAATGTAGTACTATTGTCTTTAAGGAGACTTCAATGTCATGATTAAACATTTCTAAAGATTATCAGAAACTTAGTTGAACGTTTTTGTATTGATTAAAGCTTTTATTCTGAAAGGCTTCACCGGTTAAATTGTGTGTGTGCACGTCGGATTCAGATCAACTCCGGCCTATGCTCCGGTTGATAGGTAAACTGAAATGGAGTGTAAACTCCGCCCACTACCTAGCCATTTTTTCAGCTGGTCTATAAATGAAGTAGAGCTACACTCCAGCGTTACTAAGCAACGAAACGCTTCGCAACGTTTTCCTCATTAAAAAAAAAAAAAGCTGGACCGACTGAAATTGAACAAGTCTTTTCTGAGAAATCAACTTTATAAGTCGATTAACACAAATATTATTTCGTTATTTAGCATTAGCGGGTCAACTCCCTGACAGATTTGGGGAGCCTGTCGAGTTGTTTGGGCATTATGTCTGTAGTGGTGGATGAGGACTCATCGACGAGCAACGAAGCTCAAAAACTGCTCACTTCAGGCCAAACGGAGGACAGTCGTCTAGCAGCTGAGGATGAAAAGCAGGAGACGAGCAGAAATGAAGAAAAAGTTGAAACACAACCCAACAAACTCAAGATGGCTGTCCAATCTCAAGTCAGTGCGACTGAAAATAATGTGTTCTCAAAAACGACAACTCATCCTCAAACCCAGATACTAGTGAGTATTTATAACTGAAAAAATGTGGGGGTAGCAGATGCTAATATTTGTGTTGCCCTGCTGTATTTCCTGTCAGGAAAAACATTTCCCAATATAATGAGAGTAAATCTCTTCCATTTAGTCTCCAGTCTGGGTCTTTGGGATGAATCCAGCTGTCCCTGTCTTCAGTCTGCAGGACCACGATCAGCTGGTTGTCCTCTATGCTGCAGGTAATACTGGGATTATCTATAATCACACCTCTAACTCCCAGCATATTCTGCAGGTAAGCATCATTTTGACTTCACTTTTCTACCTGGATTATTGAGCATGCATCAAGATGACTCAAAGCATCCTCAATTGTCCAAACACTGGATTCACGCTAGTTGAAGCACCATCTCAGATTAAAAAAAAAAATCTACATCAGAAAAGTCAATGATTTAGATATATTTTAATACATGAAACACTCTGATGTTCACTATTTCTGACACAAAACATCGATCATTTAGTGAAAATGGCCATGCTTACTTCTTTACACAGTAGGGTAAGCGTAAGAAAAAAAAAACTTTTGTGGAAATCAGATTGGTGGTACATAAACAAACGATTCAATATTTTAAGCTTTGTTCACCTTGAAGAAAAAAAAAGCTAATTTACAGAAATGTCTTTAATAAAAAGGGGACAACTCCAGCTAAGTTCCCTGAAAACTCTGAAAGAAGAATATATTATTGGATACGTTTACTCTTATTTGTTATTTTGTGATAGAAACCTTTTGAATCCAGCTGTGTATTACTGAAAAGCACGTGGCAGATTTTATGTTGCACTGTTTACTGTGTTCACTTTGATGCCTTCAGGGTCACTCCCACCAAATCTCATGTATGTGTGTCAGTGAAGACAGACGCTGGGTTGCAACAGGAGACACTGGGTCAACAAGCATGGTGATAATATGGGACTCCTACTCTGGGTATCACCTCATTTTACATACACTGAAGTGTTTTCTGTTGCACTGTTTTTACTCTTGATGTAACCGCTGTTTGTGATTGATCTCAGTATTCCTGTGCGTACAATGTTTGATTGCCACCCTGCTGGAGGCGTTTGTGCCATTGCTTTCTCAAGTGATGCAAAGCTTCTGGTGACGGTGGGGTGTGAAGATGTTCAAGTAAGTATGGAAGCATAAAATTAACAACAGAATCCAGACTGCAAACTGTAAATTACAACATTCTGTATCTCCTGGTCTTTTGGTCAGTGTGGTGATGATTTGTCCGAAGACATATCTTTCTCTGCCGCACCACAAGTTCATACTGATAGCATAAATAAGACATTTTTATGTTTGAGTTAGTAATCCAAAACAAACTCTTAGGTTGTTCATTTTCTGTGACAATCATTTTCTGGTGTCCAACAAAGTTCAGCCAGGTCATCAGGATGGTTTCTTTTTTTGTTGTTGTTGAGATGTTTCGTCCTTTGTCCAAAGGACTTCATCAGCCATCTTATCACCATCAAACTGGTTGGGCCACGGTAGCTATGTTTACATGCGCAAAATTCTTTGATCTGATTGAAATGTATTCAGATTAAATAATCCAAATGTATCGTTTACATGTGCACAATTTGTTCACGATGAGCATTTACATGCAGCGGGCTTTTATTCAGAATAGAAGTACTGAGATGTGCAGAGTGGTAAACTCCTTAAAAACACAGAATAAGTTCTACTTCTGTGATGAACATAAACAAACCTGAGCACCCAAAATGGACTGGTGGATCCCAGCTTCATCCAACTTTCATGTACTTGTCTAAATAACTCAGTGTTCCTACACTTGCGACCATCAAGGTGTTCGATAATTTTGAGCTCTTTCAAAGTTTCTAGTAAATTAAGTAAATGTTGTATCGCTCTTTTGCTTCCCCGACATATTGGCATCTAGCCAGGTAAGAATACGTGAGGTTGACATAGGTCACACATGTGCAGTCATGTCAGTTTTCCACATTCAGAATAAGATGATCAGATTAAGTGTTTAGATGCACACCGTTTGGATTATAAATCAGCATAAAACACTCCTCTCATTCGGATTACAAATTCATTCAGATCGAGCAGAATCAGCTCAGAATAATCCAAATGGGGTGTTTACATGATGCATTTTTATTCCGAATGGCCGTTTAATCTGATTACCCGTGTCCATTTAAACATAGTTTATGTGAGTGTGCTGCTTGTTGTGGGACTGAGTTTGTTGTGGCTCCTCAGACTGATGAAGTCCTTTAGATGAAGAATGAGGCGTCTAATTAAAAATATATATATAAAGAAATAAACCATCCAGATGACCTGTCTGAACTTTGTTGGATCTTTTTTACCTGGATTAATGAGCATGAACTTTGACATTTTAGTGTGTGTGCATTTGGGACTGGACCAGTGAAGACCTAAATCCTCTCTGCTGCACGGAACTCGATCCAAAACACGGTTTTCAAGTAAGCAAGCCTTGCTCTAAAGTCAGTATTTGAATATCTACACAATGAACATGGTAATAAATAAAATGTTGTGTTCAAAATTGATTTATTTTTTCAGGCTTATGTCACTTTTAAACCAAATGATAGTAGTCAACTCCTCAGCAGGAGTAAGACTTGCGTATTATTCTACAAAAGAGTAAGTTTAAGTTTTTTATTTTAATTTTAAAAACATTCTACAGATGATAATCTGTCATAATAATAATAGGCAGTAATCCACTGGTCTCTTTTCAGGACAATGGAACTCTGCAGTACTATGCAGTGAATCTGAAGCAGGTATATTTTCAACCATCAATGTTTTATTTAAGATCTTAGATTTTTTTTTGTATTTCAGGGAGTTTTTATATATGTTCATCCTTGTTATATTTGCAGGTTAACCGTGCTTATGCTTCTGTATCACCTAAGACTCCACTTGACTCCCCTAAAGGAGTCTGCGTTGCTGACGTGTCTTTGAGCCTCTCTGCATTTCACTGCACAAAGCCTCAGGTCTTAACAGCTACTGATGGCAGCATTGTAGTGTGGGATGTCAGTGAAGTTGAAAATCCCAAAAGTCCCCGTGAATATACCAAGACACTAAAGCTCCAGCAAGACCCAATCACTGTCCTCACCGTGACTGATGGGTAACCTGAAACAGGAATATTTACGTTAATGCTGTCAACATGTCGCATGTACTTCCCTTAATTGTTTGTTTATTTTATTTGATCTTACAGATTTATTGTAATCAGTAACATCCAAGGCCAAATTACTTTTTATGATGAAAACTTCTTGCTTCTCAACATCATCAGTTACTCCAGCCAGGATGCCATTGTTTTCATTTCATTTTCCAAAGAGTACACTGAGGGGTATCTGAGCGAATACACTCTGAAGGCCGAACGAGTAATTTTAAGGTATGAGATAAGATCCAGTGCATCTCATATTGTTTTGTTCAGCTAATAAAATAGATGACTGCATTTTTGTGTTTCTTCTTTGTAGGAACCTTATCGTGTCCACGGAGAGTTCCAAAATCCTGCATGTGAACGCACAGACCGACACCTTTCAGATCGTCCTGCGTGAGCCTTCTCATGCAGTGGCATGTCATCCCAGTCAGCCAGTGGTAGCCATGGGCAGCCAAGGGGGCATTTTAAAAATGTGGGACTATAACAAGAAATTGACCATTGCCAGGAAAAACTTAAAGATCAAAATGCAGATCCAGTGTGTTACTTTTGACCCAAAAGGTAAAAAAAAAGGCATCTCATAGAATGAAGCAAAACGGTACGGTGTGTAGCTTCATATATCGTCGTGTTGTTTCTGTGGACTTCTACTGTTTAGGCTTCTACCTGGCAGTAGGTTTCAGAAGTGGAGCTGTTCACATACTGAATTCCCAGACTTTGCAACAAGATCCAGAGGAATGTTTCCATTGTGCCACAGACAGCATCCATCTCATCACCTTCTCATCAGACTCTGAGTACCTGGCCACTGCGGTGAGCAAGTGTTTGAAATGTGTCTTATCAAGCTGCAGTAGGTTTTTTTTGTTTGTTTTTTGTGGGGGGTGGGGGGGGGTTAGTTTTTTTACTGAAACGGGATCCATTGTCAATTCTTTGATTACAGCAAAAATACGCTTTAATATATTTTGTTTCGATTAACTTTTAGGATGCTGGTATGGTAGTGACAGTCTACTGCCTAAAGAGAAGCAATGGATCGCCTCCTCAATGGACATATTTGGGCAGAAATGGCTCTCACTACAAACCTATCAAAGACCTTCTTTTTGGAGTTCATTTGGACAGCGCCCAACCAAGACTGCTCTCTCTGGGACTCGACCGCAGACTGGTTAGCCATCATTCCTCATTTCACTATTTTCTAATACAGTTTTGTTGCTTTTCTCTCGACTCGTGTCTCTTTATGTGTACTTGTTAACAGGTTGAGTATGACCTAAAAAACAGCATGGTGAACAAGCTTCTCATCCTAAGCTCAGAGCGTATTGAGCAAAGCGCTGTGCCACTGTGCATGACGTGGTATCCTCCTCTTACCACAGAGCAATTTCTCCTCATTGCCTCGGACCAATACAAGCTGAAGCTTTTCAACAGCACAAGTAAAATGTGCAGGTCTGTAAAATCCATAAACTACATCATATTTTCTGTCACTCACTGGTCGTTATGTGGAAACATTAATACATGTGTTACATGTTCTGCCGAAACAGAAAGACTCTTCGCGGCCCAATATATGGTTCTCCCATTAAGCAAATGGTCGTTCTTCCCAAGTCGAGAGACCCTGAAATAAACTCATATATCTTGGCCTACATCACAGAGGATAAGGTCAGTGCTAGAAGTTTATTTTTAAAGCTTTTTTTTTTTTTTCATATAATGTGCACCCTTGTAGAACTTTCATTTAAATCAGTAATGTGATATTTGTTATCAAGATCTTCTGTTAAGAGTAAATGTGTATGAATTTCACATTTGTGTAAAATAGTTATCAAAGTTCTTGTATGTCCTGCAGGTGGGTCTCCAGATTTTACCTTTGGATGGGAACCCCCACAAGTCCAACGCGTTGATCTGCCATCCAACAGGGGTGTCCACACTCACCTGCTCCTACGACGGACGGTTTGTTTTCACTGCAGGAAGATCTGACTGCTGTGCCCAGTCATGGGAAATTAACTTGAAGTAAGGTTTGCTTCAACTAGCTTGAGAAACATAGCAACTGGATGAGTAGTACTATGTACAGTACATGTTGCTGAAACTGGTGTTGCTGCAGTGTGTTGGAGGCAGAAGCTGCACTGGGTGGGCAGGGCATGACACCATTTTACACTCTCTTAGACGGAGGAAGAGATGGCAAGTTTTACAAGGTGAGTTCAAGATTTTGCCTCTTTCACATGCTTGCTAAAAGTATTGTAATATTTATGCCATCATCTTGACATACAGTGTCATCGTATTTATAACATTGTGCATTTTGTTTTATAATTAACAAGCTTGGATTGAACTGGTTCATTTTATTATTTGATATATATTTGTAACTGTTTATCATGCATTTTAGCATCCTCTTTACTGAAATAACATTTTACTACTGAACATAACTTTGTGAGATAAAGAACCTGTGAATAAAGTTGCACTTTATGGCCCGAGCCCAGCCCGAACCTGACTTGAAATTCGGGCTGGTTCAGGCTCGGGCTTTTTGTGGTGCCATTTTACGAATCATACAACACAAAGAAAACTAAATGAGAATGCACATTATAAGATTGTGTTGTGTGTATGTCGGGTTTTCTTCGGGTTCGGGCCTCTAATTAGAGTTAATTAGTCGAGTCAGATCAGGCTCAGACACAATACCTATGGGCTCGGGTCGAGCTGGGTCAGATCTTCTAGGCCCAAATCCCAGCAGGATGCACTTAGAAAAAACCTTCAAAGGGAATTTACCTGAATTTAGAATTTAGTCTGTATCAGAAACCTAAACCAACTTCTTTCAATGTGAAGGAGCAGTGGCGTTATTTTGAGTACTTCCTGAATGTCTGAACTTTTTTTACCAGTTTATTTTGATAATGTACAAAAAAGATAAAAGGAACATCAGAAAATAAATTAAATTCAAAAGTATGCAAAAATAAAATAAATTACAATCGGCTCCTCCAATTCATTTTAATTTAAAGATCAAAAACAGAGAGAATAGGTGTATACTTCTACGCTGGAGCTGAGCCTGTCCACTCGTCAAAGGAAGATATTTTTATACGCCTGTATCAATTTTTATACTTTCTGGTCATGGCTATAATTTAGAATGTACTTTTTTTTTAGTATTCTGAGCCATTTATGTTTACAGGCGATTAAAGACAATTTTATCTACTGCCAATTGCGTCATCAAGAATCTAAAACAAAGAAGAACATATCCACCAAAATTCCCCTATCTGAGATTTCCTATCTAATGAGAGCTGTGGTGGGCCACTGTCCCTCTGAGCAAGAGGTACAGTAAACTAAACATAAAAGTACTTTTACTTATTTGAACATTTTTTAACAGTTCTGTATGTTAATTTCACCAGACTGAAAACATGCTAAATGAAGTCAAGTTCAGCAAATATGCTGAAACAGGAAAATATGTGACTGAAATCAATCTGGAGGAGTTTACCAAGCTGCATATAAACCATCGTCCAGCTTTTGACATCTCCAGCAAAGCTGTTCACGACCTTGGTAGAAGTGATGGTACAGGACGGCCCATTCTACTGAAACAGGACCTGATGGAACTTCTACAGACTCGAGGTACACCGGGTGTCAGTGTTTTCACTATATTTCATTATGCACATCTGGTTCAGTATGGTTCTGATCTGACTGACAGGGGAATGCATGACCGAGGAGGAGGTGGAAGCGTGTGTTGCTAAACTTTTAGGCCCCATTGAAAATGAAAATGGGGCATTTGGTAAGTGTCACAAATCATCAGCACATGTCAAGAAACAACCACAACTATAAAATTCACATAAATATAAAACAATCTGATGTACAGGTGGAGCATCAGAATATTTGCTGAGTGTAATCCCAGATGAAATATCTGTGGAGACATTTAGAGATCTCCTGGGCCATCCAAACCCAGCAGAGCAGACGAGTGCCCGGTCCTCCCTTCCAGAGTAATAAAACCAGCTCCTCAAGAAGAACATGTGTTGAGGACAGATTTGCTTTTGCAGACCTATTACAGTTTGTGTTTTGTGTTTCAGTTTAAAATATGAAGAAAAAAAATGTAAATGGTAAGAAAAACTTTCTTGGATAAACATGACTGGATCAGATAACTTTAATAAGCATTAGAATAACATATGTAATCCACCTTCAATACTTTTGGATTATTTCACTACTGTAAGTATTGTTCCAAAAAATGTAATAATTTTGTTTAAGCATATGAAAATATTTTAGATGCAAATAAAATACTTTAAAGTTGCCGATAAAAGCAGACCTGAAACATTGCATGTATTGTGTGTATTGTTTGATATATTATTATTATTATTATTTGTGTTTGGTTTTAATGTTAATAAATTTATTTTCTGATAGAAAAATTTGCCCTGAAAAAAAACTTGAAGTATTTATTCTAAATGTTCAGCCTTTCTTTAAATATGAAAACATGTTACAAATCCATGCATGGATTTTATCATTACTTTTGTTATTTTAATTTTTATTTTAAACATGTTAGTTGAATGTTTATTTCTTCAGAGACCGTCTATGTACACAATGGTATACAGTAGTCCCTCGCTACTTTACATTTCATTTTTCACGGACTCGCTCTATCGCGGTATGTTCAAGTACAGTACTGTACATATACAGCACATAATATTTTACACACACAAAAAAAAGTGCCGCCATTTTGTAGTTTTCTTTCATTAAGCCTTCACTGTTTTGCCAGCCTAAAGAACTACGTTATCCAGCAGCCATCAGTCCACTTCCCAGAAGTCAACACCGCTTCCTAAGTGTGACCCGGATCCTGGGAGCTGCAGACGGCTGCGGGGTTCAGTCAGGTTCTGGTCGTGCGGCGATAGTAGATTGTTGTATGAGACCAACAGTGAAAAGTTCAGTTTTTGTCTTTTCCTCATCTTCCTGATGTGCAGCATCTTTACTTCTGTTGTTGCTTCCTGAAAACAAGTTTTTTCAGGACGTTTTGTTAGAAGCCAAGGAGAGCTCAGTGTTGGAGGAAGAAACCTTCAAGACGTTTGGACTTACTGTTACAACTTCAAAGGATAAGCAGACGGAGGGGTTGCTTCTCATCAGCTGAGGAAACAGGCCTGACTGAAGAAGTCGCCTCCTCCACAGATACTTTTAGGCAAATGCTAAGAGGTCCCCACCAAGTCCTGGGGTGGAAACCTGTCGTACTCCTGAGGTAGATCACTGGACTGAGCACCCAGCAGAACCACACAAACAGACAGAGTGACCTGTGACAGAGTTTCAACCTGATAGAAGCTGGTATCTGATGGGGGAGAGCACAAGTTGGTCTGGTTGTATTTCAGCTGATGCACATCTAATATATCTCTTCCTCCCCTACAGTGTTAATAAATTACCTGATAATCTGGAGTTAATTACCCTAATTTCAAGTAACATTCCAAAATGAATGATTAATAAAAATGGCTACAATCTCTGAATTCCAGTGAGAATAAACCATAAATAAATCTCTTTGACAGGCGACATAGTGGCTCAGTTGGTAGAGCTTTTGCCACTCAGCAAGAAGGTCGCTGAATCGAATCCCAGCCGGGGATCTTTCTGGGTGGAGTTTGCTTGTTTTTCTGGTGCATGCGTGGGTTTTCTCTATGTACTCCAGTTTCCTCAGAGACCAGAAGCATGCATGTTCGGCTGATTGGTAACTCTAAATTGTCCCCATGTGAGAGTGTGAATGGTTGTTTGTATTGTTTGTCTCTATGTGGCTCTGTGATGGACTTGAGTTGGAACCTGTCCAAGGTGTACCACGCCTCTTGCATAGTGACTGCTGAATATGGTTTTTAAATCCCTTCTTAAAACCCATCTCTTTTCCCTGGCCTTTGACACCACCTGAAATGTTGACTTTTAATCGTTTTAATTGCTTTTTATTATCTGACTGTAGGATTGTATTATTATGTATGTGTACTGTACAGCACTTTAGTCCTGTGGGTGTATAAAGTGCTCTATAAATAAAGCTGGTATGGTACAGTATGGATATAGGTATGGTATGGTATGGTACGGTACAGTACGATACGGTATGGTACAGTACGGTACGGTATGGTACGGTATGGTACTGTGTGGTACGGTACAGTACGGTACGATACGGTATGGTACGGTACGGTATGGTACTGTGTGATATGGATAAGGGCACCAGTGACCCCTTCATAAAACTCAATGCTACAAGACTGTGGGAATCCCAAGGATGGCAGACTGTCAGCCCTGGGTGCAAAAACCAACAGCTCGTCAAATCTTTGGTCCATTTCTTTCCTTTGTTAAAAATACAAACAACTGGGGGATCATCCACATAATGTGAGGCTTCATTACTCTCATTTTGAGTTCATTTTCCTTTTTTAATTTCAATAAATCTACCCCTAGTGTTTCATAAGAATGAGCATTTAAAAAATTAGACTTATTTAATGACTGTAGGTAAGAACTGTTTCAGACTTGACTCTGGGATTATGCATCATGTTTACAAAAGTTTCATTCACATCTGTTATAAGTAAGATCAATATTTATGATAAAAAGCATTGGTTCATTTTACAAACACTTTTGTTCCTCAAAGCAATCGTTGAGCTTTAGCTTTGATGTGGTTTTCATGGCATATGCTCTTATCATGTTAAACATCATTCATTCAATTCCCACTGGAAAATGGTGGTTTCTTCCTTTTCACATCTGTTGCTTCCTGCAGGACCCCAGACAATTGTGAAAAGATTCAGAAAGAAGTCCCTTGTGTGTTTATGTTCATTTATAAATCAAAGAAGAAACTGCTTCCAGAATATTTTCACCAATTGTCAGAACTGACCACATGACTCATACCTGCTGGATCATGCTGGCAGCCCTGTTGACCACAGAATATACATTTCACCAAACTTTCAAATAAAAAATGTTTTCATTTCTACAATTTAGCCAACTTTTTGAAGAAGAGTTATACAGATAGGAGTAACATATATTACTGATTTGTCTAAGTGTTAACCGTCGCTATATCACTAACTTCTCTGTAGTGGCTTAAAGTTTTTTATCATTGTACAGTATATGGTGCCACTGCTGTCATCCTCCTCATCCTCACCAGGTGAGGGCACTGCAGTCAGAATGGGGTTCAGCAGCTTCAGCTCAAGCACAGCCTTCTCCTTCTCTACATATCTGTTTTGTTTATGCACAGCACAGTAATGTAAATTGGACAGGAAAATAGATCAGATTTTTCTACAATGTTTTTGCAAATAGAAAAATGAAACCTACATGTAATAAAATGATGCATGGAAACTGAAGCTATAACAGAAGATACTGTAAATGAGACTGTAAAAACCAAGCAGCATGGAAGCCAAAGTTATTTATATAGAAAAAATATGGATCCTAATTTGCATCCTGAGGACACATTTCTAGAAGCTCTTGCAATATAAAAAAAGTGAAACATAAGTCTGGAAAGCATCTGATGAGATCAACAAAAACAAGTTAAATCATGTCATCTGGACCAGTTTATTTAATGAGATGTCAACATAAAGACTGAGGGCTGTGCAGTACCTTGAACCACATGTACAGCAGTGTAAAGTTAAGAAATAACATTAAGTTATGTGCCACAAATTTGCAATTAAGTACAAATCATAGCTAAGACAATGTCTTATTTAACTCTGTAGCACACACACATCAGCGCCTGAACTTTACTAATATTTGAGCATCAAACAGCGCCCTCCTGTGTTCAATAGTTACAATGTTGAATCATATGACTCATAAAAGTAACATAATGTATCAGAATTAATTAAAATGTGTTAAGACAGAAAATGAGATGTATGTTCCACATATAAACACTTATTTAACAACAAACGCTGACGCGTCAATAATTTTCACTGCAATGTGTAAATACGCATACGATTGGCTGAATTTCAGAAATGGGGCGGGACTATTAAGACAGCTGGACCAATAGAATTTGAGCTCGCGGCCAGACACCAAAAAGTAAACATACTTGTTTTGGTCTGTCAAAAAGCAGGATCCTGTCCTTGCACTGTTCATGTTATCTCAGGGTGTTGTGAAAGAATTGAGATGTTAGAGCGTGCTTGTTTTGGCGAGCAGCACTACATTTCTGTATAATTGTATTTTAATTTATAAGTGTCGGGTTTGCTGATTTTTATAGAGCTTTACGACAGCTGCTATGCTAGCAGGCTAACCAGGTTTTAGCTTAGTACCAACATGAGCTGACGAATTAAGAAGTAACGACTAGCAGCAGGCAGACGGTAAAAATGTGTTTTTAATTCTTTTTACTTTATTTTTTTGTATTTATTAGAGCCTGTAAGGTTACGCTGAGACTTCTACTCACTTTTCCCTAGCTACGTAGTTTACTTCCGCTTTCTGCTTTGTTACTGCAGCTTGAAGCGGAGAAGGGAGCAGCTTTGAGTGACAGTGATGCTAGACAGATGAAATGGAGCCTGAACGTCAGAGTCCTGCTATGACGGACGGACGGCTGAGTCCCGCTGGGGCAGACACTGGCTCCTCGGGCCGTCCGGTTCGGCAGCGCTTCAGAAGTTCGGCCCATTTCCAGAGCGTGCTGGACGGCCTGCTGTCTCTCAGACACACCGGCATCCTGTTCGATGTGGTGCTGCTGGTGGAGGCTCGACCTATCCAAGCCCACCGTGTACTCCTGGCAGCCTCGTGTGATTATTTCAGGTATGCAGGTGCTGAGTCTTACTGTTTCAGGTTAAACTGTCTCTGCTGTTAGTCTCACTTTTTCTGTGTAAACGTCACAAAATAGCTTCAATTTGCCAAAATTACACTTGTCAAGACTGGATGTTTACGGTTTTTCGCAATTCTTAAAAATGTCTTCACATAGACGTCTTTATATTACACCATTTCTTTATCATGTTTTGCTTGTTTAGTTGTTTGTTTTTTCAGACCAGTCGTGTTAGTTCTGGTAGCCTAACATCACAAGATACAACTCAGTTCAAAGTCCAGTTCAAAACAATCCTCTGCATGTTTTGAGCTTGTTAACATTTTAACATGATAACCACATAAATATTTGAGTTATTGGGTTGAAGCTATCCGAACACCTCAAAGCTGTAAACTTGAGCTGTACAGTGGTTTAGTTTAAACACAGTTGGTGTACTCTTTACTTAAAATCCTGTAGAGGTTGACTTCACTTATATCTGCTGCAGACTGTATAAAGATCCAGTCTCCCTCAGTTCGGGGTCTGTCTGAGGTCTCCTCCCAGTGGGATGTGCCCAGAAATCCTCCAGAGGAAAGTATCAGCATCTTTGTCGGATGCCTGAACCACCTCAGCTGACTCAAGCTGAACAATTCAACGCTTCCACGTTTTATGACATGTTTAATCATCACATATGGATTATTAGTTAGTATTAGTATTTGATATGATTGCAAGTTTGAGTGCCAGTGTATTACTCTAAACAAAGCTAGGTTCTCACTGTAACTCTTAATAAACAAGGTATCTGATTACTGCCAAGGATGAAGAGTAGTGGCAGAACCTGTTGTGCATGAAACATGACTGTCACTGCAAAAACATTCAGAAAATGATCATAACAATCAGACAGCCAAAATTCTTCTATCACCTGATCGTGGGCGTTACTGATAACACACCTGAACTGGTTAGGCTCAGGCTGATGACGTTTCTGTTTATTTTTCTGATGAACTGATTGAACCCGTTTCGTCACTCGTGCAGTTCATGCTCAATATGTACTATTAAAGTTTGAATGGAAGCTTTTGGATATTTATGATTGTGCAGAAGTCATTTCACTACTTTTAGTTTTTCAGCAGTGAATTGTGTTTTTTTGTGTTTACTGTAGTCCATCGCTACTTCGCCGTTCGTTTACCGCGGACTCGCTCTATCGCGGTTTTTCAAAATAAGATTGGACATGATACACAATTGGCTGATTGATGGATGAGCCACACGATCGGCACAGAATTTTTCATTTAAAATGAATTATATTAAATTATTTGGCACCTGCTGCACCTTTGTGTAGCCCATACTGCAGGATAAACTTCCTGCTGCAGATGATCAGCTGTTCAGTGTGCAGAGCAGAGAAGTGGGCGTGGCCAAGAACGCTTGAATGTGGCAAAGAGCAGAGGAGGCAGGGAGCTGAAATCATGACATGCTGTGCTCTTTTAGTCATTTAGAGTTTAGAAACATTGTTTAGAATATTGCAAGAGTGTGGGAAGGGTTTAAAACACCTTTATATATATATATATATATATATATATATATATTATATATATAAAATAAACTACTACTTACTACTTGTACTACTATTCCTACTTCACGGTTTTTCACTTATCGCAGGTCTTCAGGGTACGGATCCCCCGCGATAAATGAGGGACCACTGTACAACCAAATCATGAAGCCTCATCATCACTTGCTGATCAGCGTGTCTCACTTTTCTCCACCAGGGGGATGTTTGCTGGAGGCCTCCGGGAAATGCAGCAAAACGAGATTCCAATTCACGGAGTTTCCTACGTGGCCATGAATAAAATACTAGACTACATCTACACTTCTGAGATCGAGTTAGACCTGGAGAGTGTTCAGGAGGTCCTGATAGCAGCCACGCTGCTCCAGGTAGGATGAAGTGAGACGCTCACGCCGTTTTGTTGCTGTGCATTGCTCAGCCTTTGCCATTTTGTTTTGTTTTATGTGATATACAGCTTGAAAATGTCATTGGCTTCTGCTGCGACTTCCTGTTCTCCTGGCTGGACGAGAGCAATATTTTAGAGGTGCATCACCTGGCTGATCTCTACGGACTGCAGCAGCTTAAAGCCATGGTCCACTCCTACATCCTCAAGAACATTCAGAGTTTGTCTCGGACAGATGTTTACCGTCAGCTCCCTGAAGAGGACATCTTCAGAGCGCTGAGCAGCGACGAGCTCCAGGTGACCAGTGAGAACGAGGCGTACGAGGCTGCACTTCACTTTCACTACAGTCCTGATGAGGTGGAGACTGACCAGGTGTACTTGCAGGTCAGTCTGAAGGTGTGTCTTCATTTTACACTCATCTGGCATCGAGCTTATCTTTTCATTAGTTTACCAAATCCATTAAAAGAAACTGGACATTTGCATCTTTCCCAGGACAATCTCAGGATGCTTGATGCTGTGCGTTTCTGTCTGATTGAGAAGCAAACACTGCAGAGGCTCCACAGCAGACTGAAGGAATGTCCTCTGAAGGATTCGGTGTCTGTCGCGCTGCGGTACCACGAGCAGGAGATGTGGCAGCCCACCCTGCAGAGTCCTCTCACTCAGCCGCGCTCCACCTTCCACTGTATCCTGGGCTTCGGGGGCATGTTCAGCTCCAGCTCCCTGGCAGACAACAAGCAGCTGTTCCACGCCTTCCACCCGAGCTGGAGGCAGTGGAGGACTCTCACTGCGGCTCACACGTCACAAATGTCCAACCAGGGCATCGCCGTCCTCAACAATTTTGTCTACCTGATCGGAGGGGATATGAACGAGAATGGGTTTCGTGCAGAGAATTGCTGCTGGAGGTGAGATTCTCTCAGAACGTTTAACGATTTTACTGGTTCAGACTGCGCTTAGTTTAGTTTTCATGTTACCATCAATTCAAACATTGGTTCAACCAACCCTAACAGAGATGAGTCGAGATTAGCGGCACTAAGAATCTGGTTTTCCTCTCCATGACTCAATGCAAGAGTTGTGACTCTGGATCTGTGTGTTGATGTGGAGCTGCACCAGAGAATCGATGTCAGTCAGGAAGCTGGAAGGAAAACCAGATGGAGATTAAAAAAGAGAGAAGCCAGCAAATCCACACAATTCATTGCTGCATGAGTTGATCGGAGCATTATATTAATATTGTTTAATGTTCAGATGCTGATGTTTATATAGACATGAAAGTTTAATATTTGTATAGTTTGAAAACCCCTGCACTGAAAGAAAAGCAAAAATAAAACCATTTTGGTCTGGTGGGTTTGTTTTGAAATAAACCAGGTTCTGACATGTTCCATTAAAAGTGTTACAGGTTATTTTATGAGGTCTTTGTGTTAACGAACATGGGGCAGTCAGCTCCAAAGAGCAGCACTGTTTAATGATTAATTAAGTTTCAGTTTATTTATTTAGCGCCAAGTCACAACAGAAGTCATCTCAGAACACTGAACAGAAACATTTATATATGAAAATAATAATTTAACACTATTTATCTGAGGAGCAGACTGCTTTGAGTTTAACTCCATCACTGAACTCTCATCTTGAGCAAACATGAAGGCGACAGTGGAAAACCTCCCTCATGAGGAAGAAACCTTTAGTAAAACCAGGCTCAGGACAAGTGGCCATCTGCTTCAACCTGCTGGGTTTGAGAAGAACAGATACACAATGGCAGGTCAAGAATCACATGTTAAGATAGAAATGTTATCAAATGAAAACTATTAAATGTTAACAATTCATTTAAGGAAATGAGGTCAATTTGTCCTCTAGTATAAGTCTATAGCAGCATAACAATTAAACAGCAAGGGGATTATTGTACAGTTTGGAAATATTAAAGACAAGTACAACAGTATTTCCTGATATAAAACATTAGAAACATACCATGGAACAATCATCGTTTACTTTGTTTTATTTATGGACGGGTATCGAGTCATGTTGACGTGTCTGACCTGCTATGGAGCAGGTTTGGTTTTTAGGATTAATGCAAATTTGCATTTACTTAAAGGTCAAATGTGTATTTAAGGACATTTACCAACATTTAGGGCAAATTGTGACCAATTAAACTTAGCATCACAAAAATGCGAACATCAGTGAAAGTAGTGGGTTTGTGCAAGTTGTTTGGTGAAAATTCATCAAATCCTCTGCCCTTGTACTCCAACAAAAAGCCAAATGTCCAGTTAATGGTCTAACTGTCACATATTGACGCGCTTTTTGCTGAGTTTGCGTTTCGTCTTCTGACATCTGCTGCTTCCTCTCAGATACGACCCTCGTCACAACAGCTGGTGCTCCATCCAGCCTATGCAACAGCAGCACGCAGACCACTGCGTTTGTGTGGTGGGCGGCCATATTTACACCATCGGAGGGCGCGACTACACACACGAGCTGGACTCAGTGGAGCGCTACGACCCCCACACCAACAAGTGGGAATTTGTGTCGCCTCTGAAGAGAGAGGTGATCATCAGTGCATGAGATGCTTGTACTGTCCACAAGATGGCTTCATTTGCTGCTGTAACAGCTTCCCCCTTTCTGAAGTTTTATTTTCTTTAATTCTGTCTGATCTGCTCTTTAGGTGCATGCCCACGCCGGAGCTGCGGTGGACGGTAAGATTTATATAACATGCGGACGTCGAGGGGTGGGGTACCTCAGAGAGACGTACTGCTTCGACCCTGCAGCCAATCAGTGGACGGCGTGTGCAGAGGGGCCGGTGGAGCGGGCGTGGCACGGCATGGCTGCGGTCAACGGACGTGTGTATGTCATTGGGGGGAGTAACGATGAGCGTGGGTATCGGCGTGACGTCCTGAAGGTACAGTCATGAGTCATAGCAGCTGTTAATGCTGCACTCAGTGTGGATAGAGTAGCCTCAGTCAACTTGTTGAGTTCATACTGTAAAAGATGCATTTTATTTATTTGTTTGTTTGTTTGCTTTTAATGTTTGTGTGTTTTGCATGTTACATTTTCTGACCACTGCAATAATCCTTCTTGGATTATTGTGAAAAACTCCACTGAGCTAAGCTGGAGTACGAGTCAGAGCAGCTCGTTTTGACTTGGATCGTTATTTGAACAGATCTTTTATGGAGATAATGTTTGTTTTTTTTTGCCTGTTTCTCTGTGTGTGTCTGTTAGCAAAATATATCATGAACACTAGATACTCTGTGGTGAAACGTTGTAGTGAACTTGACCTGATGTCAAATCAATGACCTTAGGATCATAT